GCCGCCGCCGCCGGTGCCCGTCCTGTCGGCGGAGGAGCTTCTGGGCGGCGATTCCTGCGAGAAGCCGAGCAGCAACGCCCTCACGGGAGAGCCCCTCGCCGGCCCCGACGTACCGCAGGTTTGTAATGCTGAGCCCTTGTTCTGTTATTGAGGCTTTCCTATGACCTTCCTTTCCCTCCTCGTTTTCTCGGTAAGGTGTCCGTGAGAAGTCATTTGTGTCTCCATGTAGGCGCGGAAGGTTTTGATCTTTCCTTGGTAATAGGTTCCATTTCAGCTGAGATTCTTAGACTGTTACTCTCTATCTTATAGTGTTCCCCTGTTTTCTGGGGTATATCATTGTGGGAGGCACACATCTGTCTCCATTAATTAAGGAAAGTAATGTAGAAACTGAATTAAGTGAAGGGGTATCCTCATTCCGTGGAGAGCAGGAGGCTAGAGGTAGCACCTGGTTCTTCCTTGGTAACAGAGTGCAATTCAGTGGAAGACGTTTTGTCTTCAAAACTCGTACTCTGTAAATTAAAATGCATTTCCTGCATTGAAACGGGTTCTTACCGTGTAGGAGATTCATTGATTCTGCGTGGTGGAATTGTAGAGAAAAAAAAAACAAAAACAAAAACAAAAAAAAAAAACCACAGTGACAAATGATGTTGTAGATATTTTTTTTCCTGATTTTGTTCAGAAATTGTGCTTTTGAAACTGGATTATTGCTTTACACAAATCCGTTTATGAATAGTTGGGTTTTTCTGTTTTGTTTTGGGGTGGTTTTTTGCCTATTGGACTCACTTAAGGAAAAGTGTGTAGAATACTATGTTCTGCATCCTGAGTGAAAGAAAAGACTGTCGCTCGTTTTCGGGGATAATGCAGTATTGGGCCGTCTTCCTTTTTTTATCCTGGCTGTCAGTTTCTGTTTTACTCTTCATTATATTTATTTCATACAGAGTTCAAGGTTCAGAAAGACTTGCTTCAGATGGTTGATTTTTCCTTTCTTATTTACCCTAAGGGTTTCAGATTTATGGAGATATCGGATTTAGAGAAGAGTAGGTTTTTGAATTCTGACTCTTTACAAAAACAGTTATCTGAAAAAGGAGTATCTGACAGTATCAAGGAGATCAGCCATATGATAGTTCAGGCGCTTGAATCAAACTTATTTCTATATTTTTCATGGGTTAGCAGCGTTTCGATTAGGCAGCTATACTTTTCTTCCACTGTTCTACAATCCTTTCCTTGGTAATGTTGTACCAATATGATTAAAAAATGTTTTTCCTGATATACTTTTTTGTTACACTTCAATGCTTTGCAGGTTGATTCTTGATAATTTTTTTTTTTTTTACTGGCTATAAAATTCCTTGATGTGGTGTAAATGTGTAAAAAGTAAGGAAACACTAAATTTAACTGACATTCAAACATTTGCATCTTGATTCCTTCAAATTTTCCTTTGAGAATATTCACTACATCTTTACTTCTACCTATAACAATCATATAACAATTTGCTCCCTGACTTCAAGAACCATGCAATTGTTCTCGTCCCGCTTATGTTAATGAGCCTGATGGCTCAGGCTATCGGTGTGTATGGGCGTGTATCTAATGTTTTCAACCTCGGACCCCGTTGCTGAAGGGGTTTTTGAACAAACCTGGTAAGACTAATGGTAATCTAGAGCTTGTAATGGTAAAAAATATGCTTTAATATACATATATTGCCGTTAGTAAGTTATTAGTACCTCCTGTGGTAGAAGCACCACCTCCACGGAATGCCTCGACATTCCTCCCGATGGTGATCCCCTGAAAGACCAAGGCAGAGATCGGTTGGAG